CAAAACCAACAGAACTTGAACCCATATTTGATTTATCTAGGTACTAACATTCATATTCTTTTCCTCCGCAGACAATCCTCCATTGAGATTTGAGCTCTTAACTTCAATTGGCATCTGTATTGTTGAAATTTTCACACTTTATCCCCAAGTATTTTGAGAACCCAAATTCACATTAACTTTAGCGTTCTCATTGTTTCCATCCTTCTCAATTACATCTTGTTTCACTTTGACATCTATTTCCATGACAGCACTAACTATAGTATCCACCTCTTCAAAATCCTCCTCAAAACTCTCAATCTGCGGATCGCTCGCTTCTCCCATGTCAGTCCCGAAAACTTCAACCAAATTATCAGATTCCTGATCCTTGCAGTTCTCCATGAGACTGGGCACTACAACAACTTCCTCAATGACCACCTTGTCTTCCTCCTCCTCGTCATAGCTCTTAATGAGGATACGTCGTTTTGCTCTCGTCTTCTTTCGACCCATGATGACGATCAATCAAATCCTGAAACTCATTTTCGTTCTTTTTGAAATGAAGAAGTTGCCAATGGCGAACCGGTGAATACAGTGACAAAGAAGTGGCAGTAGGTGTGGATGATGCAGGAGATAATTTTAGATTTCCAAGAGGCTTAGTATATATATAACGAAAGTATATCTGTTATGATTTTCATCCCTACTATTAATTAATTATATATAAAAAAATGTATCCGTTACGAAGAAGAGAGAGGAGACTGTATAAATAGGGAAATGCCACAAAATGTGAAAAGACGCAATTGGGGCTAGATTCATGATGTGAGACGGTGAGATCTAGATCAAACGGCTGATGTTGGCGGGCGGGAGGGAGGCGAGTATCTAGCAGGATGGCTTTTGAAGGAAAGTAACCGTCAATGGTGGGTGAGATCGCGATTCTTATATAAAATGCTTACCCTATTTAATGCATAGGGTAGCATTATATATATATATATATAGATTAATAGGGTTAAAAGGAATGGAGAGAGAGAGAGCTAGGGTTCGAGACAGGTTTTCGACAGTCAGGGATAGCAGCAGTGGTTTCCGACGGCGGCTCCCAAGATACGGTAAGCACTTCATTGGGCAGGCGACAACATACTTTTTCTATGATTTTCTGGTGAATCATTCTGCTAAGGATTTGTGGTATAGTTTTTGGTCTTTTGGGAAAGTAGCAGATGTTTATATTATAGAAAGGAGAGACCGGAGAGGGCGTCGTTTTGGATTTGTTCGGATGTCTGAGGTTTCAGATACCATGGATATGGAAAGAAAGTTGAATCAAATTTGGTTGGATTCGTATCATTTGAAGATGAAATTGGCAGAAAACATGAAATCCGGGAGGGAAGGGATGTCCAGAGGATAACAGCAAAAGCAGACAGCAGCGTAGTGGGTCAGACGAGATAGAAAGGTGTCTCCTAGGATAACATATGCACAGATTGTTGTTGGGAAAATTAAGGCATCTGATGAAGGGGAGTCGTTGAACCATGTATTGGAGAAGAAAGTGGCTGGGTTAGAAACAAAGGGTGCAATGTCGAAAGGGTTGGCAGTGATACCAGTGTCAATACCTGATCAGGCTTCAACGTCAACAGCGAATGATGCCAATACTTATGTGTCGAAGGAGGTGGTTCTGCAGTTTTCTCCCAGGGAGGATGAAGTTGCATGGTTGAGGCAAAGTAGAGTGGCACTGGTTCGGTCATTGGATTTGGTGATGAAAATACAAAATAGATTGGATGTGGATGGTTTATTGGTGAATGTTGCTCTACTAGGGGGAAGACATGTTTTGTTAATGGATAATACGGAGGGTTGCTTAGAGGAGTTTATTGATAAAAACAAGGAGTTGGTGGAGTCTTGGTTTGAATGGATTCAACCAACTTTGTTATCTATTATGCCATCGAGAAATAGGTTGGTGTGGCTTCGTTTTAATGGTGTTCCATTGTGAGCATGGAGTGAGAGGTGTTTCTAGAAGTTAGCAGGTTTAATTGGTAAAGTAATACTTGTTGATGATGATACAAAATCTAAATCATTTTTGTGTGAAGGTCGGGTCTTGGTATTGTGTGATGACACCATGAAAATTTTGCAGACTATCACTCCAATGGTGGATGGAAAGTCTTTTCTGATCAAGGTATCAAAGGAGGAGTGGCGTATGGATCCGGACTGGTGGCTGGTCGGTGAACGGAAGAGTTCAGGTACGAGTTTGGACGTGTCCGACATGGAGTCCGATAATTCCGATGACCGTTACAGTGAAGGTGATGATAGAGCAGTTATGGCCGAAGATTGTGCAAAAACGGAAGCAGAATCAGAGTTGAGTTTAAAACAGAATGTTGTTCAAAATTTTGAATTAAGTGGGCTAGAGATGGATGGGCTGGGTAATGTGGGCTCGGTTGGGCCAAAGGATTGTGAGGTAGAGGAGCTGGGTGTAGAAAATGGGTCTCATGAGGGGCTTATGCCTGCTGGAGCGCAACAGAAAGGAGTAGCTATGTTGGTCAAAAAATGTAAGAAATTGGGGGACATTTATGCCGGGGATGGGGTAGCGGAGGAAACGAGGGAGACGGGGCTGTAGTGGGTGACGGCAAGAACCATATGCAAGAAGGAAAGAAGGGAAACAACAAGACAATTGGAGCAGGGGACGGAATCACAGAAAACTTATCTTTCTTTGTCCGATGGTTGTATTCAAAATCGCAATAATCTGATCCGGTAGCAATTGGAGTTGGATGAGGTAAGAAGGTTGTTTGGGTTGGGGAAAAGAATGGGGATTCAATGTCAGAATGATGAGGAAGAGGTGATTTCAAGATTGGCGGCATTAGAAGGACGAGATGAAGCCAATTTTAGAAGGCCCTGAAGCTCGGGTGTGGAGTCTAGTTGAAAACAGTGAGTTGAGTTTTTATCATTATGAAGTTTATTTCCTTTAATGTTAGAGGTTTGGGTAATGGGTTGAAAAGGAGGGAGATTCTTAAGGGTCCGTTTGGTGTGGCTGGAGCTTTCAATAGAAGTCCTCTTAGAAAGAATCTGTCGGGGAAGGACTGTTTTTGAGAAGTAAAAAATGTTTGGTAAAATTTTTCATAAAAGTACTTGCAGTGTGAAAAGTTGTTTGGTAAAATTTTTTATAAAAGATCTTTTAATTTTGAAATGACTAAATTAGACATTTTCTTTAAAAAGCATTGTTTTTCTTTCTTTTTTTGACATTTTTGTAGAGTTTTAATTTTTTTTAATTTTATTCTGTTAAAGTTTAATTATTACAAATAAAAT